GTGTGGTGACTCAATTTCTGCCAAAATTTATCTTCAAAGGTGCTATATCAGCTACAACTTTTATCCTAATGGAGTGCCTGGGAATGGCGAGTCATCATCTTCGTCTTCAGGTAAAGCTGTAGAGAGAGGTCTTAGTTCCCATCATTCTGATAATGCTTCAATACCTGTTTAATTGTAATTCAGTGCTACATTTTTCACCTACTTTGTGCTTATATGATCAGAACATTTGTACATATTAGTAATTAGAAAATAGAAATCCCCCGACGAAAAAGTGACCATAATATTATATTTGTTAGGACACTGCCAAAATCACCGAGAATATACTCTTTCATTTCGATTCAGCGGACAATTCGTTAACTCGTGCATCTTGATGTAAACTTGTAGAGTATTATTTCCATACTTTTAACTGATCATCTTCATGTAAATTTCCAATAACACTGCAACATATTACACTGAATCTGATAACTGATGATGATACCGGCTATTTTGTCCCGTTGATTCAAATATGGGGCCAGACTTCATTTGAAAACCTGTGAAATATGTTAGGATGGTAGACTGGTAGGTATCCGATCTTCTTTGTGTGAAGATATAAACCTCTAGCTGTGATAGCATTTGAAGACATGATTCTAATGCCTCTCTTTATATTGTGGTTGCTCTGCTTGAAATCAGGAATGGGGCAACACAACACACAGAAGACAGTGGCTCTTGCGGTAGGAGGGGTTGCAGCTTTAGGATTCTTAATCGCTTGTTTGTTATTTGTCAAATCAATGTTCAAGAAACGGAGTGGTAAGTATTGAATTGAAACTGGGTTTGATTTTGTAGATACTGATACTATTATACCTCAGAGGTTCGTTCATATTTCTAGTCTTAACATGTTAGAAGAATATACTTTGGATTGATCCTTTTGTATAGTTTATAAGACTGAAGGGGATGAAAAGGAATTTCTTGTCATCCATGATTGGTGTGTATTCCTTTTGAATTGGGTTGGGTTCATCTTGGGGAATCAATGAAGGAGGTGCTTTGTTGGGACACAAGATCATTGGGTGATGTGTGATAGATTTATCTGTCCCCACTAGCACAAACATAGCTCTTAGTCATGGCTTCTCTTTCTTATAGCTGGTAAACACGGGAATAAAACTGTTCTAGGTTTTTAGTCTTAAATTTGGATATGGATTTTTGAAGTTCAATTCCTTTTAGGTGAGAGAATGATTGACTTAAAAAAAAAAACCTTCGAATTACTTTTAAGAATGGTCTCCCCCCTCCCCCAAAAAAAAATTTTGTGGATAAAAGGTGGAATTACTTTGTATAAACTATCGATACTTTTGACTTGTATATCATATAGCTGCATCTGAAAAAAAACAGAAAAATATTATATTACATTTATTTGGTCCTCTTTTTTTTTTTTTTTTAAACTGTACATTATGTTCTTCTCCCACACTTAGCATATGTGATTGGAGTCAAAATCAAAACATGGGAGATGAAAAGGGGAACTAGAAATTTCTATTGGGTTAAAGTCCATCTAACATTCTGAAGTATTTTCTCAGACGCATCAAACACCCTGAAATTTTTTCTCAGACACATCTAGCACCCTAAAGTATTTTGTGATGCATCTAACACTTCAAAGTATTTTTTAGGAGCACCCAGCATCTTGAAATATTTTTTTTGCCTTGATGTTAAATGCACCAAAAAATATTTTTGGATGCTTTATGCACCTAAAAAAAACATTTTGAGATGCTGGATACACTAAAAAATATTTTAGAGTGTTGAACGCACCTAAAATAAATATTTCAGGGTGCAAGATGCACCATAAAATATTTTAAGGTACTAGATACACCTGTGAAACTATTTTAGAGTGGTAGATGTACCTTAACCCATTTATATTTGGTATGTATATATGGTTTATTATACTGTCCAATTTCACTTACTTTTTTTTTGAATTTGTGGCGACTTGATTGGAACGCTAAAGAATGCGTTTGAACATGAGATTCAGCTATATGGTATGATTGAGCATCTTGAAGAAGTTTAATCCCAGGCTCAGTACTAATATTCGCGTGTCAATCTTGTCACTACATTTTAAAATAATGACTTTGACAGATGCTGGCCACGTCCTTACTCTTTGTATAATATAATTCAAAAATAATAATTTCTCACTTGAATGACTCAACTGAAGTGTTTGCCAATTGCAAGTGGCAATCATTTGGATTTCTCAATCATTCGGATTTTCTCAGCAACACAGTTCCTAGTGTACAGCGGGAAGCCAGTAATACGGGTTGGGTCTGTCTGTTAAAAAAGCAAGCTCATGCTAGCCCATCAAAGTGCGGGTCATTCCAACCTACACTGTCTATGGCCCGCTCTGCTGTGACTGTGGGCTAGCCTTTTTTTTTTTTTTTAAATATATATATTTTTTAATTTTTTAAAAAAATTTCATGAAATTTTTAATATATTATATAATATAATTACAGGATTTTAACTCTCAAATTCCATATGGACATTGCTTCATTTATATTATTACATATGTAATTAAGCATTTTATATATGTTTGTAGTTATATAGAGAGTATCGTCTATATTTATTTTTCATCTATTTGTTGTTACTATACATACTTTTATATGATTAAATAAACATGTGATGCTTATATATACATATATATAAAAGATCTACTTAATTAATTTAGATTAGAAAATTGGTTAAATTAATTATTTATTAAAAAACATGTGTCAGTTTTTCTAAAATATCTTCTTAAATTATAAATTAATTCTCGTACTATTTTATTACAACCCATTATTCAAGTTTAAGACTTCAAATTTAATTTTAACATTTCAAATTAAACCCAACCTATATAAATAATAATAGTTTTTTCCAAAAAAAATATATTTAGTGGGGCTACCAGCCTACTAAGGTGCGGGTTATTTCAGTTGATATCGCTTTCGTCCTGCACCGCCACTGGCTGGCCTGTATTTGCACTGTCAGGCTGGCTTTACTAGCTCTAATAGTGGGCATTCGAATTTTTTTCTATAAAGAAACAAAATGATATTGAATGATATTTTCAGTAAGAAATTATAAAAAACTAATATTGAAATGCAAAGCTAGGATCTCCTTGCCAACTGACATTGAGATTTGAAGAGACTTAACATGTGTGAATCCAGAAAAATTATATACAAACTTACTAGCAATACTAGGGTCGTACACTTTTTACAAAAGATTTTTCATATTTAATTCTTGTTCCATTATATTGGATTCATTAGCCTTGGATAATATTCATAGATACTTCCCACGGCTAACTAGATAAGTAGATATTCTCTAGACGGAAAACGCAAATTGTACATGTCTGGATGAGCTTTACATTTCAAGTAAAAATTCTTGCGTTTATTAGAAAGAGGAACAATGAACTAGGATTCTTAAAAAAATTAACACTGGATAAGTAGGAGTCCTGTGGCGGTTTTCCTTCCTTCCTTTGTCCGCGTAACAGTTACCCTTCTACGAAATTATCAGTTTAATTTTTGCAGCTTAGATGAAAAGATTTATGAGATGTTTGGACAAAATCTAATCATGATTTGAAAAATAACTTTTAGGAAAAAAATTATTTTTGAGAATAGATTTTATAAAAAAATAATTTTGATAAAGTGAGAGTACTTGGATAGTTGTTATCAGAAATATTTTTCATATATACAAATTACTAAAAAAACTTAAGTTAATATGTTAATTACATAAAAGATAAATTTTATAATATATTTTTATTTGAAATAATAAATTTGTTAATAATATATTTTTTGCCAACATAATAAATAATATGTAAAAAAAATATAATTAATAAATAATTAATATGTGTATATGTATTTATAAAATATAATATCAAATATGTTTTTGGAAAAATGATTTTTTAGTGCCAACAGAAAAATATTATTTTACCTTAAAAATTTTGAATATGAAATCCCATAATATTTTTTCACAACTAGTTTTTTTTTTAACAGCATACTAACCCTATTCTTTAATATAAAAACTATTTTGATATCTAATTAGTCCTAAATATAAAATCCTAATTCATTTTACTTGTCATATTTATCCATTTTTCTAAAGTAGTATTTTTATTAGTTACATATGTTTAATATTTTATAAATAGTACTTTAGTAAATACACATGATAAAATTACACGACTGTACTTAAAATAAAATAAGAAACCATCAACCCATTTTCCTCTCCAGCCATCCATCACTCACCATCAAATCTACTCTATAGCCACCGACTAGCAACAGCCATCAATCTACCTGTGTGGTTCACCTCAGCATTGTTGTTGCCACTATCAAACTCCTCCACACTCATTTGAACTCGTTCTAATCATCAGCATCATCTCCAAAATTCCAGCTACCTGGCAGATCTGTCTCCCCATTGATTTCCCTACTCAGCAACGGCCTCTACCTTCTTTACTTTTATAATTCTACTTTTTGTATGTCTGAATCCAAGTTTGTCCTGTTAATTTGAGTCCCTATTTATTTTTGCAAATTTGATACCTCCTCCATCTAATGATTTCACAATTTTTTTTTTGAACAACTCTTCTTTTGTTTTGAAGGATTATTTTTCTGGAAATTTATTATGGTGAGTAATGTGAAGGGAGGAGGAAGAAGGCATTGAATCCAATAAGAAAAAGATGAGGATATTTCAGTCTTTTTCATTTTTATGATTATTAAATTTAATATAAAAATTATTATTCCTTTTAACACTATCAAGTTGAACCAAACAAATTCATTGTAATCTTTCTTTGCATCACATTCCATTCTCAGTTATTACATTACATTCTGTTACCCATGATTCAATGAATCAAACGGCCCCTTGGACATCGTATCAGGCAGTCACTCAATAATAATTGATAGAAATATTCAGTTTCTCCTATTCCCTCCTCCATCTTTTATTAATCGAACACGAAAATTTTCTTCCACTTTTATCAGATTACTAAACCCGAACTGCATACATGAATAATCAGAACACTAAGACCAGTAAGACGATAAATTAAACGTACCACATTGACTTGATAATGTATATTAAGGAGTAATATAGAGGGATATAAGTTGGCAAAAAACAAAAAAACATACAGGGATATGAAGATTTGCACTAGAATACTTCTAAAGCTACAATTGTAAGGTTATTGCAATACGAAATCATGGACTTATATTGTTTCAATACCATTAAAAAGAAGAGAATCAGCAATGATTCTCCCAATGCTTCCACAAGATCTAACCCAAGTGACTCAGATTCAAACAATCACATTGAAAACCGAACCAGAAAATTTACCTAACCTAAACGGTTCATTCACTTCTGGGGCGGTGGACCCATGGTGGTAGGGGTACCGAGAAGGCTGGCCTGCTGAAGCTCGAGCTCGTTCAACTGCTGCTCACGGTCCATCTCGATAATCAAAGGCACAACGAGGATGAGGAAAGTGGTGCCAGCGATCCAAGCGGCCTTACCGGTGCTTTTGAGGAGCTTCTTCGTGACGAGAGCGGCGTCGCCGGCAACCTCCTTGCCCCTGGAGACGAGAGGAGACTGTGAAAGCTTGGAGATAATACCGGTGGGTTGGTTCCTTGTGGGCCTATCAGGGAGCGAGGCTCCACCCCTACGACCTTGGGACGCCATGAGGATTGAGGAAAGGGATTTACTGGGAAGAGAGGGTTTCGGCGGTCACTAGAGATCACACCACTGCCCTTCCCGGCTAGTTAGGTTTTTAATAGCGGCGAATGTTTCCCTGAATCGGGCGGCCCGCGTTTAACCCTCGAGCTGTCTTTTACATTCATTTCGATTTTATTAGCTTTTTAATCATCATCATCAATAAATCTTAAAACAAGCTAACAGGTAACAACGTAAAAAAATCGTCATTATATTTATTTGGATAACAGCAACAAAAATTTCTTGTTACAAAAAAAAATCCTATCTTTTTTTTGCTGCCATATTTTTTAAAAAAGAAAATCATATGAATGGGAGAATTGCTGCTAACTTTCAAATAATAAGAGGAATATGATAAAAATGTGATCTAAAGAATTATTATTTTTAATTACGTTTTTCTCAAAATATGACTATTATATTAAATTATTATTAAAATATTGATTTTCCCTTGAAATACTTATTTTTTTACATTTAAAACTTATTGCAATATAGTTTTACCAGCCAGATTTTTTTTTCTTCACTTTTTTCCTTTTACCACTCAGAATATAAAAAACAAAAAATAAAATTTAACCTAATATCCTGAAATGTATAGAGAAAAATAAAAAAAATGCAGGGTTTAACAAAGCCTGTAATTTTTAAATAATGCAAGGGAGAATTTTATTTGACTCATAAGTTTACATTTTCCGGAATTTAGGACTAGTGATATGTAAATTTTATGGGACTAATTAGTACTAGTTACAGTCCCAAATTCCGGAAAATGTAAATTTATGACGCAAATAATTTTTTTTTAATAAATTTTATAAAAACTGGGCTCCTTATTTTATAGAGACACTAGATATTAGCCCACCTCAGCGGCCCAAGCTCCACTTCTACTTCTTGTCGCTCCTGTCTGTCGGGCCCTTGTGCCACGAAACCTGGAACCAGGACGCCACTTGCAGCCATCACAAGCCAAGGCCATGCCCTCTGCTTAACCGTGCACCCGCATCATCAACCCTGTACCTTTTCAATCCACAAAGGTTTACCTAACCAACGGTTCAGATCAAACTCGATTCTCCCACTCACGGTTCAGATCTAACAGCAGCAGCAAGCGCAATCGAGCCGCCCGCACCCAGTGTTTCACGGTATAAAGGGAGCCTCCTATGTCAACATACTCTACCTCCTCATCCGCACATTCTATTTTACGATTTAACACCAAAATCACTTTCTTCCAGCAGGGTTCAATCTTCGCCATAGGAGAACTCTCTGGAAGTACGAGGCCTCGCATTCCAGGTATGTACATAGCGCCTGCATTCGCCTTGTTGTTTTAATTAGGGCTTACAGATTGAAACCCTAGGTTTTTCTGATGTTTAGATAGAGGGGCAGTGTTTGATTTATCTTTTTTAATTTACAGGTTCGTGTTGTTGTGCCTTGTTTCAATTCTAGAGTAAGTCACCGGGTGCTGTTGATGTTGCATTTTGTTGGTGGTTTTTGCCCGCGGAGAAGTAGCAAAGTGTTTCTGATTAGCATTTCAACACGACTGTCGTGCGCCTTTATCGGTCTTAATTTTAAATTTCGCTGTTGGAAGCGCTTCAAGCATGTATCCACCGCGATATATTCTCTATTTAATTTAGTTTGATGTTGCGGTTGACTGTTTTTTTCGCATACACTAGTTGTCTAGTCTATATTCCATCTGTTTAAGTAGATATGACTATGTATCAAGGATTATCACACTTTCATGATCTATATTACTGTATTCCGAACGCAAACAGATTTTATTCCACCGTGAACCGGCCCTAAGGAAAGCCGTTGGTTGTTGTGTTTGCAGAGTTTTTTTTTTCTTTGGAGGTAAGGACCCATTTATCTGAACATGGGTGATAGCGAAGCAGTTACTGAAAAATCTGCAGCTGTAAGCTTCAATTCCACGAGCTATGCTTCAAGTGGCCAAGCTAATGCCATACCAGATCCTATTCCCGAGGCAGTTTCTACTGTTGTCGAGTCTGGTTCAGAAGCTCAGCAGGCTAATGCAACATTTGAATCGAATTGTTCTAATTTCGGAGATGGGAATGCTTACAGTGGGGATCCTAGTTCTGTTCTACAACAAGTCCAGTTCAACACGACTGGTGGAACTATGCAAACTGATGGTAATCAGACTGCCGGTGGAAACACAGCCCCAGAATATTCTCAAGTGCCTGACTATAATTCATCGGTAAATGGGGCAGTGGCAAATGCCACAGGACTCGAGAATGGGAGTGTGTTGGAGAATATTGATGGATCAGCAGCTGATGAGAAACAGCTTGCTGATGGTTATGGTATGCTTTTGCTTACTAGGCACTAAGTGTTAGGCGGAAGATTGTCTTGGTTGTTATTTGACTTCATTTGAAGAACGTGAATTTGATGTCTGCTTAGCATTTTAACCTTTAATAGTTCAAGAACTAAATGGTTATTTTTCTCTCAAATATTTTAAATAATCATACTTTACTGACTTCAGTTTCCAGCTAACTCTTACTGATCAATAGTGTTTTTCCTGCTATCTTTGAAATTCTACACTAGGTTCATATTGATATTTTTTTCCCTTAATGGTTTTACTTTTTTGTGGAAAATTGATATGCTTCCCGGTTCACATAATATTTAACTACTTTCATCTTCTTAATAATTCACTGCTGTACTCATTGTAGTGTATGATAAGCAATAAACCATATAATCCAAGTAACATCCTTGGGCTTTGGATTACTGGATCAATATTTTGAGGCTTTTCATTATTTTGTTGTGATTTTGTTCGTTATCTTATATTTACATTTTTGGGTCTTATTTACACAATGATTGTGCTGTGTGCATGTGTGTAAAGATATGATGTCATCAGACAAATTTATGTACTTATTTACTTGCTTTCTTTTTGCAATTCTTAGCTGCAATGTCTGCTGAGGAAGATAGGCTGTGGAATATTGTGAGAGCTAATTCTTTAGATTTTAATGCTTGGACTTCCCTGATCGAGGAAACAGAGAAAGTGGCTGAGGTTTGTTGCAATAAAATTTTTAGACAGCAACTGCATGTGCGATCTTCCTTTGTACTCGCGAATTCAACACATCAGTTTTGCTAGATTCGCTCACTTGATTGTTTCCAGAAACTGCCTGTTTTATTAGTGTTTTCAACTTTTTAATCTAATGATGCAATTGGTTGTCTGAACTGAGGTATTATATTGTGCTTATGTCATTGCATTCCATATAGCCTGGCTTCTCTGTGGTGGTTTTTTTTTTTTTTTTTGGTTGGGGGGGTAGGGAGGGGGTGAGGAATTGGTGATGCACGTTTCCTCTTGGCACTTGTAGGTTAGGTCTACCTTCCCATGTTTTGATTTTATTTTCCTGGTGTCTTTAGTTATTGTCACAAATACGCTTAAAATTTTTTACTTCATACTTCTCAGGCTTAACAGCTATAGATCTGTAACTGGAAGCTGCACACCAGAACTATGATGTTGGTGCATTTGAAACTTTTTATGATTGAAGTTGGATAGCTTTTTCTTTTTCTTCATGGGGTGCGGCGTCATTTGAGATCAATGAAGTTTTTTGTATTTCTATGATTTATACTCCTGTTACCTAAATATACAGGAGGAAGTGATTTTGAAGAAATACTCATGAAAGAACATTATTCTGATGCTTTGTGACTTGTTTATTATGTTTTGTGATGCCTGTTTTGAATTGGATATTCATAGTCTTCATTAGTTCATTTTCTTTCTACTTAAAATGTGACCGTTACACCCTTAGGAATATTGACTTATTGCCTTATTGGAAATCATTTTTTGGCTATTTGGTATTCCCTGTTAGATATGATTTGAACACAAGTGATTGCATGGCCAAATGGCTTTCTGTTTTCCCGATTTTCTCCTCCATTGTTTGTTCCTGTAATTAAAATTTATGTTGACTGCTTGATGTCATTGTCGTGTTTGTTTGTTTGTTTCTGTGCAATAGTGAAACCTGTTTATTAATGCTTCCTCCATTGCAGAACAACATTCTGAAGATCCGAAAAGTTTATGATGCTTTTCTAGCCGAATTTCCTTTGTGCTATGGATATTGGAAGAAGTATGCTGATCATGAAGCTCGTCTTGGGTCTATTGATAAAGTTGTTGAAGTCTATGAGCGAGCGGTTCAAGGAGTTACATATTCAGTGGATATGTGGTTGCATTATTGCATATTTGCTATAAGCACATATGGGGATCCAGAGACAGTTCGTAGGTAATGGCTGCCTAACTTTTTGTTGTCCTTTCTTTGTGTTGGGAGCTCAATTTGATTTCATATTCGCCAGGCTCTGGTGTTTTTCAGTCTATCTTCTAACCTGGTTTCAGAACTTTGCAACAGTGATACCCCTTTTTGGCAGAAAATCTATGATGGGAATGTATATTAAAATGTTTTTATTCCTGTGTTTTAAATCCTTGATTTGAGGCTACAAAGGGGTAGCTGTGTTAAATTTAGGGCAATCTACTTCTTTACTCCCTCATCTACTTTACCAATCGATTCCAAGACCGTAGATATTTAGTTTTCTTTGAATGGTTGCTGTCCTTAAGTTTGACACTCTGAGGTGCATCAATATGCAAATTGCTGCTGGGAAGATCTGATCTGGTTAATGGCTAAGATGGCCTCTATGACTGCTCCATGTCTCGGACATATTATGATATTATGCAGGAAGGTAAATGCAGTGTTTGGATGTCCCTATATGATGTTAAGACTGATTTGTTTGTTCTCCCTGAACATTCATGCTGTTGTCTCCCACATCTAGATGTGCATCAGTAGTTGATGCTTGTTAATTGCATGTTAATCGAACTCTAATGTTCCTATGTTTCAGGCTTTTTGAACGAGGATTGGCTTATGTTGGAACAGATTATCTTTCTTTTCCATTGTGGGATAAATACATTGAATACGAGTACATGCAGCAAGATTGGGCCCGTCTTGCCATGATCTACACCAGAATATTAGAGAATCCTAACCAACAATTAGATCGGTATTTTAGCAGGTAATTATATTTTCTATGTTTTATTTAATCATTGTAGTTTGGATTTTGGTGTTCTTCCCAAGACCATGCTCCTGCATAATGAGCGCCTAATTTCAAATAATTAAATGATAAATGTTTCAGGGCTTATTGTCTTGCATGCGATCTGATCTCTCAGTATATTTTACTAAATGTTATTTCCTTTTTGTAAATGGTGTTGCAGCTTTAAGGAGTTAGCTGGAAATCGTCCTTTATCAGAATTGCGAACTCCTGATGAAGCCGCAGGAGGAGGCACAGTTTCAGAGGATGGTGGCCAAGCCAATGAGGGAGAAGTTCGTCCTGATGGTGCGGAAAATCCTCCTAAACCTGTAAGTGCCGGCTTAACAGAAGCGGAAGAGTTGGAGAAGTATGTCGCCATTAGAGAAGAGTTATATAAGAAAGCTAAAGAGTTCGATTCTAAGATCATTGGTTTTGAAACAGCTATTAGGAGGCCCTACTTTCATGTACGGCCCCTCAATGTTGCAGAGCTTGAGAATTGGCATAATTATCTGGATTTTATAGAAAGAGAAGGTGACTTTAGCAAGGTAACTGAACTGGTTTTCCATGGGTGCGCTTTCTGTTTTTAGTTTTTCCTATTATAGATTGACTTACAGTAAGTAATATCTGCTGTATCATATGCTTTTATTGGCTAATTCGTTGGATGAAGCAACTTTTTAATGGGGAAATTGAACTGAGACTAAAGCATGGGCCTTCGATTTGGTTTCTTGAGGCTAAGTACTTCAAACTCTGATTTGTCAGTGGACATTCTAGGTTCGTCATGTGTATGTAAAAGTTTAATCTTTTTAAACTGCGAATGTTATGCATGCAGGTGTCTTGTAATCTTCCTAGTCATCTGTCTCAGGCAAGGAGGGTCCCTCCTTTCATATTTGAGGGGCCTCTCTGTTCCCCTAAGGAGTATTTCTTGATGCTTTATATTTCCTTTTGTGTTTTGTATTAATGCTTTTGGCTTATGTGGAGATGAATTATGAGTAGAAACAATCTATATAATATCCTTTTCTTCTTTGTTCTGCACGGATCAGGTTGTAAAGTTGTATGAAAGATGTGTCATTGCATGTGCCAATTATCCGGAGTACTGGATACGGTATGTATTATGTATGGAGGCCAGTGGGAGCATGGATCTTGCAAATAATGTAATTGCTCGGGCAACGCAGGTCTTTGTGAAGGTGATTTCTAACACTTATCAAATTGTTTTTATACAGCTTAAAATTGTTGTGAAGTTGGTGATCGTTTGCTTATGATCTTTTAATTTCCCAAATACTGAGGGTGGGTTTGGTTGGATGAATTTGTTTAGAAAGAATGGAATGGGAAGATAGAAGCCGCATTGATGTTTTAATATGCAATAGAAAGGAACATAGGTTGATGGGTAAATTTATATTTAGTTGAATGAAAGGGACGAGGCAATGGAAAAGAAATTGAAGTAAATGACTATAATGCCCCAATTATAAACAGATAAAAGGGCAATTATTAAATATCATGATTGTTTATTGTAATTATCATGCTAAAATAATTATTGGCGGCAATACTTGTTAATAAATTAATAAAATATGCAGTTTTAGTTATTACTATTAGATTATTAATAGAAGGTTCTCAAATAATTTCCAATTTTATTTTCAATTAGAAATAAATCTGGAAATTGCTAATTATATAAAAGGGACTAGCAAACAATACACTTTCAATGTTTAAATAAATTGTTTTTTGTTAAAATACAAGGTTGACAACTGCCAATCCCCCCCCCCCCCCCGGGTCTCTGATCTGGGCAAAGCTGAAAGCAAGAGTTGTGAAGAGGATGGGGGGTGTGTGTGAAATATAAGGTTATTGGGCTGGGATCTGCCAGGGTGCTTCTTCATATCTTGCCCTTTGTGTTATCATTTGGAGGTGTAGTCTTGAATTTGACCTTCCATTTTTGTTCCCAAGAAGCTGCTTTCCTTTTGCTCCGCAAAGATGAAACATGATTTCATGGGTAAATGCACTGTACACAGGCATTGAACAAAACATGACTAACCGGGGAAAGGAAATGGGCTTTTCTTCCACTTGGCCCTTTTTTAGTAAACCAAACATGTGAGGAGGAAGAGCTTAGATCACGTTATATCAACAAGGGTTGAACCAAAGATCGGCAATGATTGGAAATGATTGTCTTTCTTAAGGGTGAACTTGTATGATTACATACTAAATAAGCTCGTTTGTTATTTGAACAAAAGTTGTTTATCTTTGATACTTGGAAGGGCTTATATTGTCTATTCATCTTTAATTGTAAGAAGTTTGGCATGCCAAGTATTGAAATCGAAGAAACAAGTGGTGCCTGAAGTGAGATTGGACAAGGGGTTGGTGTTTGGAATCATGTTATTATTTTTTGTGGTGGTGAGGTGGAGTGATGAAAAATGCGAATCTTATTTGTGCTACTTTTCCTGGCATTGTCAGGAACTAGTCTTCCTAGCATCCATTTGTGGGATTTTTGGTCTTGCTCTTGGTTGAGAAAAGAATGTGATGATTGACTGATGTTAATTTTGTCCGTGTGCAAGTAGCATGCTGTGTCATCATACTAATCACAATTATAATTCATGTTCAGGGAGAATTATCCCTTAATTTTTGCAATTTAATCTCATTATTGTGTTTTTGTCACTATACAGAGGCAACCTGAGATACATCTTTTCTCTGCACGTTTCAAGGAGCAGAATGGGGATTTAGCTGGTGCCCGAGCTGCCTATCAACTGGTGCACACCGAAATTTCTCCTGGTCTTCTTGAAGCTATAATCAGGCATGCAAATATGGAAAATAGACTGGTATGGTGGTTTATGGAAATTTTGTTGGCTTGGCTTGGGAGGCAATCTAAATTGGAATTGCTCACCTCATTTGCATCTCATGAATTTCCCAGGGTAACTTGGACGATGCGTACTCCCTATATGAGCAGGCTATTGCCATTGAAAAAGGAAAAGAACATTCACAGACATTACCCATGTTGTTTGCTCAGTATTCTCGGTTTGTATATCTGGTATGTTCTGCAACATTTATTAGCGCCCTGAGACTCCTTTCTAATTGGAAGCTTGTCTTACCCTTAGGTCGGGCGTTTAATTTCCGTTCTTGCCCATGTTATGACATCTTGCCAATTCAATTTTTATTTTCCCCATCTGACATAATGACTCTGGTAATCAAGGTTAGCTATTTTATTATGTTTTTGTCCTTCTGTTTTTCACTCCAAGATGAAAATTTAACACATCGAGAGGCTATATTTGAGGAGAATCAAGATATTTTTTTAATGAAAAAACTCAAGGACTTGAAATGCAAATTATATATTTTTTAGTGAGATTTTTTAAAACATTTGTTCTGGTTGTTACAAGTTAGCAGACCAGATTTTATGTCCGTTCATGGTTTGTTTTCATGTTCTTTGACTGCATAGCTTGATTTTATAAGAACTCTGTCGTGTTCTTGAGGTTTCCGTCTTCTGTGGTCCTTAGGTTTCTGGGAATGCTGAAAAGGCTAAGGAAATTCTGGTTGAGGGGCTTGAGCATGTTCAGTCATCAAGGCCAATACTCGAGGTATGTTCTGTCTTTTAACTTTGCACATAATTGCTTCTTCACTTTCATGTTGATGAAGGCTGGAGATTTTCCCCTCAAAATTGCAAAGGTCCTCTTATCTATTGCTATTATCTTATTTTATCACAAATACTGCAGTAGTGTTCTAGATATTCTGACCTTTGTTTTTCGTTGGCACATGCAGGCTTTGTTACACTTTGAGGCTATCCGACCTTTGCCTAAGAAAGTAGACATTGACTTTCTAGATTCATTGGTTACAAAATTCATTGTTCCCAGCGCAGAGAACCCAAATGCTGCTAGTGCAACTGATAGGGAGGAACTTTCTAGCATTTTTCTGGAGGTAAGTGGTTATGATGACGATGATTCCAAGTTTTTCCTGAGGTCTATATAAACATTTAACTGCGATAAATTCATGGATACGGAAGAGTTAAAAACACTGTTTTGAGTTGGGAAATGATGAATGGGAGGAACTGAAAATGTTCACTCTGTAAGTGGAATAGTGGGAAATGTGGGAGGGGCTTGAGATATCCAGCTTTGAGACTCTCTTTTGATACAGATGTTCTAACTGAAAGTTAACTTTAGCACAGCTTTAGCAAAACTTGCATCATAGCTTATGTGATTTGGATCAATAAAGCTTCCATTATATTTGGTGTTACTCTTAATTCAAGACGGGGCTCTTAAATTCCAGCTAACTTCATCTGCTGCTTACAACTTAGCAGAAAACCTGGTGCAGTGGGAACTGAAATTTTTAGGTCTAGAGAAATCTCGTGAACATGTCTGGAAGGTAAAAGAAAAAAATTTTAAAGTCAAAATCTATCCTTTGCTATTTTGAAAAATAATTTCCTCAGAGCTGCAGAAGTTTGCTGGCTTGCAACAGCTTTTGCATGCTCTATCTCACCTGATTTCTGTGGAACTTCCGTTAAGTTACTTGCTAATCTTCAGCAGAATTTCAGAGATTTTTCTTTGTGCTGAAACAATTGGATTTACCAAACGAATGTATTTTAATTATTTCGGACTCAGTCATAATGCTGACACTCTATGACAACACTATCACTTCTTCTCTGGGAAGCTTTTGGCTTGTTGCCAGAGTAGTGTGTTCCAATGGTTATTGATTCAGAATATAGGTCAGTCAAACAGCGTTAGAGTTATAATATGAAGTAATTTGGTGATGTCTTCTTCCCTATTGATGCCCTAATTTGATATTTCTCTTATGGCCGTCCTGCATTGTTGATTTGGCAGGTTTTGTTATCTTTAAAATTCTGTGTATTTTCTGTTTGTTGAAAGGCGTGGCTGCTGTGCATTTTTCCTATTACTACCGCATTTTAATCACAAACTCCTCCTTTGGTGTCTTTCTCCCCAAAATTTTTCAGTTCTTGAATCTCTTTGGAGATGTTCAATCCATCAAGAGAGCTGAGGATAGGCATGCCAAACTCTTCTTGCCTCATAGGAGTATGTCAGAGTTGAGAAAACGTCACGCAGAGGATTTTCTTAGTTCAGATAAAGCAAAAATGGCGAGATCTTACTCTGTTCCGTCTCCTGCCCAATCTTCAATGGGCGCATATCCAAATGCACAGGGCCAGTGGGCTTATGGAGTGCAACCTCAAACTTGGCCACCGGCCACACAAGCACAGGGACAACAATGGGCTGCTGGTTACACCCAGCAGGTAGGTTGTTATTTTTTCCTGTTGATACTACGCTAGCTGAAATGATCTCTCTTGCTTTTCTGTGTGGGTGTGTTGAGTGGACTTTTGCGCACACGGTAAAGAAAGATCCTGTCTTTTGGGAAGAAGGTTAGCATATCAGACAATGTTGATGGGGAACCTACCATGCGTCCTGGGTGCTTATGTCCACCCTTTAATGTATAAAATTGTTTTGATGATGCTGTTTGCTTTGGTTGCCTGTCTGAAGTGTCTGGTTACCATCAGGGATATTCTCGTGAGTTTCTTGATGATTTAAACACTTGTACTTTATATGACACATACAAATTTGAAGCAGGGTGCATATGGGGCTTACGCGGGATACGGGGGTACTTACACTAATTCACAGGTGCCTGCCTCAGTTCCACAGAGTACTGCATACGCGGCCTACCCTCCTGCTTATCCAGTACAGGTACCGACACAACCCTTGACATGTTACGGTGATGATATTGGGAGCAATGTCGGGTTAAAATCTGGGTGCATTATTCATTATTAAATTTTTGATGTGATATCTACAAAGTTAAATGTTATATTTTGGGGCTGATGTATTTGTCCGAATTTCAGACTGCAGTTCCTCAGCCGAGTTATGTGCAACCAGCTGCGGCTCCAGCGCTGCAAGCGGCGGCAGCTCCTCAGACGTATTATGGGAGTGGCTATTACTGAGCTAATCAAGATTAAGATTAGAGATGGCCTTCCATTTTTGGTTCCTGTATTTTTAGGACAGTTTGGGTATAGGAATAGTCTTAAGGCATATGGCTTTGAGTTAGAAAATTGGCGCCTAACCGATGCGGTTGTATTAGCTACCGTTTGTAGTGTAAGATATTTTCTTGTTTCCTCCCTTTTCTGGTAGAGGCTTTCCTTTTTAGCTTCTGTCGACATTGAGTTGTGCTTTAATGCAAATATTCACGTCACACGATACGGTTCACTTTTGTTTTCCTTGTTGAGTGAGTGGGTGGGTGGCGTCAGTTGGGCCTATTATTTACCTTCTCTCTCTCGATAAGTAACTGAATTTCAATGATATGGAAGTTCAAGTTGGTTAAAGTCAGTTAAAAATAATGTGGTTAAAATTAGTTAAAAATAATATTTAAGAAAACTTTATTTTATTTTTTTTAAAATCTGTTTACGGGAGAAGAGTACGAGGAAGAGAATTTACCTTATAAATAATTTATCGTGATAATAAATATAACAATATTAATGAGTTATTAAATGGGGGCAAAAAGAAAAATTAGCAAAAAAACTGGAGGCAACTTTTAAATATCTTCTGTAGACAATAATAAGTTATATTAAAAAAATTGTCTCAGACTGGGTACTTGATAAGTTGTTTTAAAAAGTACTGTTTTATAAATTTTAAATGTTTCAGAATATAAACTTTCGAAAATTATACAATTCTTAAATTCGGCTTTCAACTCAAAAACGAAAAGGCTGATATATTGGCTTACTAGACAAGGGAAAAGGTAATCTGCACCTACACAGAGATATATTACAAAAACATAATAATTTTAAAATGATCACTTCATAAATATCTCATAAAATCTCTCTTCAACATTAAATCCATAATTTGTTGCTTCATATTCTCCCAAACCCATCGAACCAAAAAAACATTCTTCAAAAAGTTCTTCTATACTCAAATGAAGTTGCATACATTAGGCCTCTACCTTCACTCCTTCACCATTAGGTACACAAACCTTCTAATTAAGAATGCACGGGCTTGCTTATCAGGAGTTAAAGACCATGCTACCCCATTTCTCTCTCTCTCTCTCTCTGTCTCTCTCTCATATGCAATTACTGTGACAAATCTTCCGATAAGATCTTCTCTTGTGCGTAGGACATCATTCAAAGGTCATGGCCTTTGTGCACAGAGGCATTTGTTTTGTTTATGTTGGCTTTTTTCTGAATTGATTTGCTGGGAAAATCACAGTCACAGATCCTATAAGCTCGAACCCATGCCCATGAGTTTCAGTCCAAGCATAAAACCCATGAGACATGAGAGAGCCAATACATTGGTTCTTTTCTTCTTGTACTAATTTTTCTTTTTCTTTTTTCCTTTTGGGTTGAGGCCGGATCACTGAGATAATAATAAACAAGTTTGAACTATATGTGAAGAAACAGCAGGTTTGTCACTAACTCACCATAACATTTAGCCACAATGTAAAGAGAACTGATAGCAGATGCTGTTCTCATTCTTTATCCTCATGAATCAATCGATTCTGATCAGTTAATAGATTTTGAGCTCTCTTCTTGACCAGGATATTCATTGAAAGTTAGTAGTCACATGAAATACCTAATCCTTCTGACTCAGACTCAGGTGGCCTCCTAATATTAATCTGAGTAAAAATGAGGATAGATTGACGTGGCTGAAAGCCTGAAACTTCAAAGTAAGAAGCAGGTAGCGACACACGCATATAATAAATGGAAGAAGACAATAAAGATGGAGAGAGAGGGTAATGATCCCTCACAGAGATATATTGTTTGGGACATAACATAACCCAGGAAGAAATACTTGTATACTTCTACAATCTCACCTCATCCATATTCTAATAAAAATGTTTCAAGTGCCCTTTTTTTTTAGTAGACCTCACGTCTTGCAATTTTTTTTTATTTTCTCTTTTCATGACTCATTATAGTAGAAATTTTTGGGATCCATAAGGAGAAAAAAAAACATTTGAAACATTTTTATTGAAGAAAGCCTGGATGGATAGGGCACTCCAGCAGTAAGCAAGTATTTCTCTGACCCAGGTGGTCGCAAGCTGCCTCAGATGCAGGCAAGGGCATGTTAGTTCTACCAACTTTCGTTGCATTATGAGAAAGATCGAAAGCCACATTGATGAGGTGTAACTCATTAAGGTTGCATAGCCATGCATGCCGAAGAATGTCTCAACCTGACCAGCCTTCCTTGTGACGTGTCCTTCACTCATCGCTCTCCTCTGTACTATAAATCTCACCCTCGAGTTTCTCCGCTTCACCCACAAACAAACACAAACACAAATCATGGCTTATTATTTCAAGCTTTTTAGTTCGCTCCCTCTTTGCTTTTCGGTCTTCTTCTTTGTTCTGGCAAGCTGCAGCTTGGCTCTCCAGGACCAGCCTCAGCAAAACCTGTGCCAGTTCGAGAGGCTCGACACACTGAAACCCGACAATGTCGTTAGGTCGGAAGCTGGTCGGATCGAGACATGGGACCCCAACCAGAAGCAGTTACAGTGTGTTGGTGTCGCTCTATTTCGTTGCGTCTTGGAACAACACGGCCTTAGGTTGCCTTCTTATTCCAATTCTCCTCAGCTCATTTACATCACAAGAGGTACTTAATTAATACTATACTCATCTCATTCTTCTCTTTTCTTTTGACATTAATTAATAAAGACACACACACGTACTTACACTCACGCGAGTGTTCTGTTTTGTTTTGATAAATGCGAACAGGCAGAGGAGTAGTTGGAATGGTAATACCTGGGTGTCGTAACACGTACGAGGAGTCCCGGATCGTCATCAGAAAATCCGTCGTTTCAAACCAGGTGATGTAATAGCGGTGCCGGCGGGTGTTTCTTTCTGGATGTACAACAACGAGAAAGAAGAAGTTCATGCCATTCATCTTCTCCACACCACCAACCACCAAAATCAGCTTGATCCCACCCCCAGAGTACGTAATCAAAAGCAAAATGATTATAAATTGATCTTCTCTAAGCAGTCTGGCGAATGCCTTAATTTATATACATACCTGTATTATTATTATGTCATATGAAACCGAGAGTAACTTGAAACTTTGGGACGTCTGATAATACTCCATGACAGATATTTTATCTCGCGGGGAACCAAAAGCAAGAGTTTTCCCAATATCAGTCAGGAAGGCGGCAGCAGGAGCCGGAGGAGGAGGAGGAGGAAGGGGAAGAACAAAGATGGCATCCGAAAAGTGGTCGTGGTTGGAGGGAGCCATCACGAGGTCGTCGAGAAGGAGAACAAGAGGGACAGGAACAAGAACAGCAAGGACGTGGCAACGTGATCGGAGGGTTCGGAAGCGACATGGTGAAGCACGCCTTCAACGCCGACGACGATGAGACGGTAGAGAATCTCCGAGGACAGGACGACCAGAGGGAGGGAAACATTATCAGAGTGGAAGGTGGTCTCAAGCTCAGCATCTTCAAACCAACTGTCAGCGAACAACAAGGAGAAGAGGAAGAAGACCTTGAGGATGAGCAGGGGGGTGGAAGCGAGAATGGGTTGGAAGAGACACTGTGCAGCCTCAGACTGAAACAGAACATCGGAAAAACCACATCCCCAGACATGTACCACCCACAAGCCGGCAGCCTCAGAACCGTCAATAGCTTAGACCTCTCAGTTCTCAAGATGATGGGGCTTAGCGCTGAGTTCGGTTCCCTTCACAATGTAACCAATCACTTAATTAAACTGCTTCTATATATACACAGTATAACCTAGAGAATCTCATCCAAACTCTAAGACGAATGAATTGTTGGCGTTGGTTTTGCAGGGTGCGATATATGTGCCACACTACACCTTGAACGCGCACAGCATAGTGTGCGCAGTAGAGGGAAGAGCGAATATTCAGGTGGTGGATAGCAATGGGAACACGGTGAGCAACCAGGAGCTAAGTGCGGGGCAGGTGATGGCGGTGCCGCAGAACTTTGCGGTGGCGATTAGGTCGCAGAGCGAGCACTTCCTGTGGGTGGCATTTAAGACCAACCACTTGGCCATGGTAGCGACGTTGCCGGGGCAGATACAGGCGTGGCCGGAAGAAGTGGTGGAGCGAGTGTACCGGCTGAGCGGGGGGCAAGCTAGAAACCTCAAGAACAACAGTCCCCTTCTGTTCTTGGTTCCGCCGCGACAGTCTACGAGAGCCGTGGCTTAGAAACGTAGCTGCACGGCCTCTTGCACGTATCTGCTAGGAAATCAATTGAAGAAATGCCAAGATATGCAAGCGTTTTGGAATGGGAATGCAAGCATCTTATTATGAGATATGATGCTTTTTAGTTTCAAGCTGCTGGAGACTACTGTTTTCACCTGTAATAATACGTTGGCAAATTGAAAACCTGAAATGAATTCTGTCGGAGGGAATAATGTATCTTATTTTGCCGCCACATCTTTAAATAAAATGAGTTATGATGCTTTTTCTTTCGAAGCTAACTCTTTCACTTTATATTATTTGACTGGCTTTAATTCCTTATGCTCCAAAGTAAGCCTTAAGATGGTCCTGTAAAAAGGAACAAGTTTGGGTCCTCGTTACTTTTGATATTACTACTGCTGCAGCCATAGTTTATTAGATTTAGATGATTTTTTTTAAAATAATCATTTTAATTGATACAAAATTTAAAATAAAGATAATTTCATAACTATTATTTTTATAAAAAATAATTTTTACTTAATAATAAATAATTTAAAATTTAACATCTGGTATGTCCAAATTAGATTTAAATTGTCCAGATTTAATGGGTTTTAAATGATGATCACCCACTAAGTGTCACTAGAGAGATGATATTCCATCTATCGCACATCTGTGGACCATGATACTCCCATTTGTCGTCATCAAAAGTTAATGCGCATTTGAATATCAACATGAACCATTTAGTTTAACCCCGTTTAGTTATTGATTATATTAATTATTTCACTTAATTAGGAACTGAAAGCCCTCAATCAAACTGGTGTTACAGATAAAATTTTCATTAAATATTGCTTTCGATTTTTTCGCAACCACAAATAATCATTGATTATCAATTATTATAAAATGAACTAACAAAGAAAGTATAGTTCAAATAAGCACATAATGGTTTCCGACTCCCCATGGTGTATGTTGGGAAAGATACTTCCTCTTATCCTTTTTAAAGGTTACCATTTTTTAAATAATTTTTTTTTCATAAATTATGCTTTCAATGTGTTTAAACATTTGATTTTTTTATTTATTTTTCCTACCACACTCAACTTTCTGCATTAGTTTTTTTTCAATAAAGTTTTTATTCTCGAAAAGTTAACCTGTGATAGAAATAGGTTTAGCACGTACTTAATTTGGAGCCTCCGGTGTTTTTTTTCCCCTCTCAAAATATCTCTACTACTCTTTAAAATATTCTAACTTTTCAAATATTTTTTCTGATTTCTTTTGAAGATTAGGTTCTATATAAAATAAATGATATTTTGATATCTTATTGTGATAAAAATGATGGACTTTAAATTTTAAAAAAAAATTGTGCAGTTTTAATTTTTTAAATTAAAACTGCACTGTATGTTATTATAAGAAATATCATGAAGTGCAGTAATTATTAGAAAATTATAATAAAATTTGATAGATTTTTGGAGTTTATTATATAAAATTATATCTAATGGGGCTCCTAATGCCATTTGGTAGAATCTAATGATCAAAAGAGAAAGAAAAACATTTGGAAAGTTGAGCAATTTCCAAATGGCACAAGACAAAGACACATTAGAAGTTCCAAATATATTGAGCATTACAAGTTATTACTATAAAATACACGTATTCTATCATATTGGAGAGCATTTAAAATAGTGGATAGTCTTAAATCTTAACTTTCCAAGTAATCTTTTGGTTTCCCATCATGAAATAGAAAAAAAGAGAGCAAAGTCAGGGCTACTTTGTGACTCTAGTTAGAGAGTAATATTTTGCTTTCTATTGGTAAAAGTCTTTCCTCTTTTAAGCTCCAGAAAAAAATCATGTGCATGCTTGTTAAAAATCTATTGCTCACATGATATAATGACGAGTAATATGGATATGAAGAAGCCAGTAGAACTAAAAGGGTTTGCCATAAATGATTATTTTTGACGAAGGCTTTCCTCTTTTATTGGCAATGCCCAAGAAAGATGTGAAAAAGCTTCTAGAAACACCAGGAGTTTGGGAAAATTGACAGTTTGACTGGTTGGGGTGAAAATAATAGGCTATTATTTCTAGTTGCTTCGTCTTGTCATTACAAAACTAAAAACAGTGCACCGTTTTATTATTATAAGATATCAAAACATATATAACTCATATTATGTAAAATCTAATATTCAAAAGAAATAAAAAAAAAACATTTGAGAAGTTGAGACATTTTCAAATAATATTAGACAATAAGCACCAAACACAATGAGCATCACAAGTTATTTCACATTGAGCACCCCATACTTGTTTACTCTCATAAAACGACTAATACATACTTCTCATTCTTATTCTACTTCAGACGTGTAAAAGTCTCTCGCTCCCGTGCATCGCGTGTGAGAAGAATATCTTGCTTCTTCAATAAATCTTGTCAACAAAAGTAGGACTATTTATAAGAAAGAAATAGCCAAGTATAGTTTTTTTTTTTTCAAAAATAAGTGTAATTTTTTTTTTGGATAATATAATAAGTATAACTGTAACGGAAAAAGTGGTTACGTGCAATATCCTATTCGCTATATACAAGGAAGGAACACTCTTCTAATCATATATTTGTATCAGGAATACTTTTTGCATTTATCTAGTCAATTATATTGGTGGAACTTAATAATAGCGCCTATAAAAAAAGAGAAGAATTTCAATAAATCTTTACTAAACAATTAATATTAATTAATCCCCAAAACTTTTTGAAGAAGTTGAAGATATTTAATTGAAAATCTTGATTCATGCATAGACCATAGAGTACATCCACATATACTCAAATGGAATGTGAGAGTAAAATCTTTACTAATACGGGGTATTTATATGAATTAAATCATAATTTTAAAAGTAATTTTATAATATACAAAGTAAATATGTGGGGAGAATTTTATTTTAATTTATGTAAAAATTTATTTTTGAGGCAAACTAAGCACCCTCTAGAGCAAACATCATGTTTTCCAAGTCTCCTATTAAGTAGACGCCTGTCACATTTAAAAAAAAATTGCTACTTTGTTTCGCTCAACCGTATAACTACTTTTACTTCTGTGACTAAAATTTATTAGTAATAAAATTCTTCTGAAAATTATTCGTTCTATTCAAGTAATCGAGCAACCTCGGCACGGAACCTCTCCACTAAGGCATTCTCTCCACCAAGACAAAATTACGTCGTTTCGCACCTCTCCGGCAATCATCTTCTTGTATTCCCCTCCACTTGGTCGAGCGACATCATTTTGCAGTGACGTAACCTTAAAAAAAAAAAAAAAAGACACTCACTCAAACAGGGGAAAAAAAATCAGAGATCTCTTCCAGTCTTCCTTCACATACATTGACTGAGAAACAGCAATGGAGGAATAGAAAGAACGGCGCCACTGCGGCAATTATAGCAAGCCTCGTGAGTTATTTATTCATTTATACAATATCAGACTTCAAATTAATGAGTAGTCTTAACAAAAAAGAGGCAATCATCGGAGGCTATATAAGGACTGCATTATGTGTGAAGACTGAAAGAGATATCCGATTTCTTTTTCTTGTTTGAGTGAGTTGTTTTTATCATTTATTTAACATCAGGGCACTGCAAAACAGCATCGCTGGACTACGTGGAGGAGAACCACAAGAAGCTGATTTGTGAGGAGGTGGGGAACGACGTGGTTTTGGGTTGGTGGAGGAAAATGGAAAGGGTGCCTAAATGGAGAGGTTCTGCGCCGCAGCAACCTGTAAATATCAACTGAAACAAATATATGCTTCGTTTTAATGCGATCCAACATTTGTATTTTGGAATGCAAACTTATATTAGTTTTCTTTCAAAACGGAGGGAGAGAAAGAAGGGGATTGGGAGAGAGGTCCAACCGTTTGGGAATTAACGGAGGATCGGTAGAGTTAAATTGAATCTTAGAAGAAGAGGCAGATGATGACGATGATGATAAAGCCCATTAAAATTCAACAAATGATATAATTAATGAATATATTACAAAACCAAAACTACATCTTGGTATTCAACAAAACTGTATGAGGTTGATCCAATCTACAAAAATCCTGCAGCCAGGTGGCAGCAAGAAAGACAGAAGCTCCAAAACTTGCAACAACAAGGCGGAATATTTATACGCCCTCTATCTTTGCTGTTTAGTGTAGAAAGTTCTTCATTGGATCATCGTGATGAACTTTCTTCATCCTGTACGCTTCCATGTCCTCTGCAGTGACCTATAGCAGCAGATATATAGTTGTTTAGAGAATCAGAGCCAGAGGCCAGCACACTCAAATTCTCACACAGCGATTTCAAAATGCATACCTCATCATCCCAATATTTAACATTATATTTACGCTTCCCCTCATCTTTCTCGTTCTTTGATCCTCCTGCGTAATATTACCAATTGAACTCACCAAATCAGCACATTAACATTATAAACTCGATCAAAAAGGAAGCCGCATATGATATAGCAGAATGAGATCAAACACTGGGGAAAAGAACAAAGAAAGAAAGGGGTAAGGTAGAGAGGTACAGTAAAGATATATAATGGTTGGTTTTCGGCCACTCATCACTATCATACCTTCAGCAGACTCATTATGAGCAATGTTAGCGTTCATGAGATCACTTGCAGTCTCAATACCAGCAGCTCCTGTGCAATAGCTGTTTCGTATGGTCTGTTTGCAGCAATTATAGCCCCATTGGTGATCCTTCCACCAGGAACCCCAAACAGCAGTGTGGTTGTTAATGTAGATGTTTTCCTCATACTTGCTCTTGGGAAGTGCTGCCTCCTGTTAGAAGTCAAAGACAAATAACTAAATCTATCATCCTATATAGGACAATCACAGACAATAAAGTGCTAACCATATCATGTTTTCCTTGGACGTTCAGATTACAATCAAGGAAATGGTCAAGTTACACCATTAACAAGGATTACGTCAACTAAAATTATGCATGTTGAAAATGCAGCACAGCAGCAGACTCTAATAATTTTGAATTGAAATCTCACCTGTCCCTTTATAATTCTACCAGCACGGTCATACTCAACCTGCCTCTCGCTTTGACCCAAAAGAAGTTCCCTTGGAAGTTTGTCCTCATCAGCTGCACTGCCGTACTTCTCCAAAATAGTGTCCTTTGTTTGAACTTCAATTTTTCCTTCATTATCTTGAAATCCTTGCAAAGCAGCTCAGCTTGGGATGGGGCTGCTTGCATATGGACATCCTGCCCCTTCTCAAATGCTTCCCAGGCACCAACGTGTAATTCCTCAATAATAATCAAATAGAAGAGAGATAAAATAAAATATAAAAAAATGCTAGGGTGTTTTTAGGGGAAAAAACATATCATATTAACTAATATCCTTAATAATCTATTCAAATTAGTTAATTAGGTTTTATGTTAAGAACTGAAAAAATAGTTTATAGTATAAACATATTTATTCTGGCTTTAAAAAACACGTTTCAAAAAACCTCAACTTATTGGATTTGAGAGTTTTGTATTAAAGACAAAAGTATCTAAACTTAGCTGAATGAAGTTTTTGTGGGTTTAAGATACTCCTTCCAAATCTAATTAGGGAGCTAATGTTGATCATATATGTAAGACTTATTTCATAAGTTTATCAATTTTTTTTTTTCCAAACTAACCCTATTGGTATGCCTTCAATGAGGGAGGGTGGGACAAAATTGTGAAAGATTTTTAGAGTGTTTTGGAAAAAAAACATGTCACATTAACTAGTTTAACTAACATTCTTAATCTAATCAAATTAGTTAATTAAATCTCATATATAAGACCTATTTCACAAGTTTATCAATTTTTTTTTTCAAATTAACCCTACTGATATTCCTTCAAAGAGGGAGGGTGGGAGAGAATTGCGAAAGATAGTTAAAGTGTTTTAGAAAAGAAAAACATATCACATTAATTAATTTAACTAACATTCTTAATCTAATCAAATTAGTTAATTAAGTTTTATATTAAAGATGGGAGAAGTAATATTAACCATTAGATGTTAAACGAACTTTCATTATTGTGCAACCTAATAAGTAAAACGTTTTTCTTCACTTCAGTTATATATTGAGTGGTTTCGATGCAATATTTATTAACACATCGAGAAAATACTCCAATTCTTGATGACATAGCAGCTTTGTGCCACTCAAAATTAATGAACAGATCAAATGGTTTCAAGCTCACAAAATTTTAAGATTTTTGATCCCGTATTAACTACTTGTGAGTTACTGTAAGGATTATATAATTTATTTGCTTATTTATTTTTAATATTATACTAATTTTTAATGATAAAATTACACATTTATTCGTTGAACCTTACACATAAATTTTAATTACTCCTTGAGGCTTGAAGTATTGTTATTTTTAAATCACTTCTTTAACTACGATGCGATTCGAAAGATTTTTTTTAATTTTTTGCCAAGAGAAGTTATTAATCTTTTAAGTGAGCATTTGTTGGTAAATCAATCTTCTAAGAATCTTTTGCATATTTAAAAAAAAAAATTGTAAATCAGTCTCTAGGGTATGCCACATGCAGGTGGCTAATGGTTGTGTAGTCACCAGACGTAATTGCTTGATCGCTAGATTAAATAGGCCACGCAATTGCGTGCTCCAGTTTTTCACAGACACTGTCCCCTGCCATTACAAAACTTCACCGTCTTCCTTAAACTTCATTCTTCTTAGTTCTCCTGTTGAAATGTCCCCCTCTGACACTGTGATACATATAAATGCCACCGCACCATTCCTTATCATGCAGATGATATTCATGGCTTCATTGCTTCTCCTGGACAGGGCACTCCTTTCTTTATTTCCTCACCGGATCGAGAATCTGGAATCGCTATTCGTTTTGGGACTTCACTGAACAATCAGTACAAAGGTTCTAAATACATCTCAGTCATTATACTTGTAGACCATGGGCATAAGTTCTTCCAATGAATCAAGCACCCGCAGAAACCACCATGGCTCCCTCATGGAAGTGTGGTGGCGAGCACTGGGGGTCAATGCAGCCATTGTCATCTTCTTCAGCGTCCCAAAGGAAACTAGCATATGCAGCATGCACATGACTGCAAGTACATCATCAAACATAAGTTAATGTCAGAATAATGAATATATCCGAGAATAGTCATGTCTTGTTTTTTATTACATGTTTTATTGGGAGCAGTAAAGACATATACCTGTCTTGGGGTGAGGCTTGAACTGCTCGTTCGAAGTAACTTGAGGCTCTGTCTTGGTCCTGATGTAGCTCCCACACTAACTTTCCATACTGTGAAAGAACTTCACCATCTTTTGGGTCAGCTAGTATGGCTCGTGAGTAATATTCCTCAGCCCCGTGATGGTCTCTCTTGTGCTGTTCACAATACACATAACAATCCATTATTTTATGAGGTCTTCACCATTAACAGAGAGTTCAAATCATCATAATGAAGTTTCAAACAATATTGGATAATAAAATGTGGGAGTTTAGCTTACCTGATACAAGTACTGAGCATAGTTCCCCAGGAACAAGGGGTTTCCAGGATTTTCCTCCACCATTCTCTTGTAATATTCTTCCACCTCATGCCTTTCTCCATCATAGCCGCCGGAGCCCATGGAGTTATCTTCGCCGCCTCCGCCGCCTCCTTTGCAGCCACCCATGCCGTCCCCACAACCTTCAGTTCCAAACCATACTGTGGGATGTGTTTCCTTCACACTTATCTTTTCCTGCTCATCAAAACCCGCCCTGCAAGTTCCTTTCTCAACTCTCACCTCTTCAGTCACAATCAAATTCTTGACACCCTCCATTGTACTTGAAATTTCTTTCTCTTCTTCCCATTCATCTTCTTCTTCCTCCTCCTCAAACTCACTTTCCTCTTCGTCTTCTTCATCTTCTTCTCTTAAGCCCTTGTAGTTCCTGAACGAAAAAGATGGAATTGTGTCCAATGTAAACAAACTTTTGTTGCAGGAAGAAGCATAAGCGAGGTCCTCCAGGTTGCCTTCAGATTGAGCTCTTCTGAAGCCCCTGTGGAGATCAAGGTCAGCAATCGAGGGTGAAATTGGAGAGGAAGTGGATGAGAAGGAGGAGAGATTGAGAGGCCCAGTTTGGCGAAAAGAGAGTTTGTGGTTATGGTGTGGAACACTGGTTGTTGGTAATGGTGATAAATGCTTCACCACGTGGGAGGTTTCAAAGTGCATGGAATTACAGGGACTTTCTGGGAAGGATGAGAGGAGAGACCCAAGAACTGGCGTTGAAGAGCTTCTTAGCATCATTATTCTTCTTTCTCGCTGATATACTGTAGTTAAGAGGAGAGTATGAGTTATAAATTAGGGGGCAGAAAACTTTTAATCAGTATTAATGAACAGATACGTGAAATCTGAATTGACCCGAAACAATATTGCTAAATTATGTCTCTTCAATTGGATTAACTGAAATGATTGACAATTCGACATGAACTTGACCGTCTTCAAATCATAATAAGTAGATCCAAGCCACGTACGACATCAAGGTGGAATATGGGGATTATGCTACAAGCTAGATTTGGCAAACATTAAGAAGCTTCATCCCTATCTATTTCAGGCTTTTGCTTGCGCATGGAAAGCAAATGGTCTAAATCGATGAACATATTAAGTGTGGCAGAGGACAGCAAAACAGACTTCATTTAACTTGATGAAAAAAGGAAGACGAAGAAGAAAGCATACCCTTTTCAGATAGTCCTTGAATACCCTAAAGAGAAAACACTGTAGGAATCTGTTTTGAAGCAATGGGGAAGAAACCAGAACAAGTTCGGAAAATGGTTCGAAAAAAGGCAAGAACAGGAACTCTTATTTATACAAGGGGAAGAGGTGAACTTTCACAAGGAATAAGAATCTAAATTTTCGAATTTCTCGGTAAAATATTCAAAATGGATGTTCTTTTTGAGTGGTGGAGAAAGCATATGAGCAGGCTAATCTGAGAGGAAAATATCAAGTTGTTCACTTGGTGCTAATAAGGCGGTAGAAAGCAGAAAAGTGCTGGAAAAGTCACAGTCAATGGACAAATTGGCGTGCACGTAGAGCATATTCACCAAACGATACTGATAGGCTCATAACAAAACCCTGCAATGGAAAAATACAGGAAGGCCACATGCTTCTGCCTCTTTGACCCATACCCACATATTACACGTATGTTCATCACCTGGACGGCTTCAAAAAGGTCACGTTTTTATGACAGTTTCCCTTTCCTTTGCCTTAGGTCCGCACACGCGGACGGTGGGCCCTCCAATCTTCCCGCCATCCAATGATTATCCCCAGCTCAATCATTTATGCGAATTGGGCCAAAGCCCAAAAGGTCCCAAGTGATTAAGGAAAACTGAAACTGGATACTTGTCAAGAGAGGGGAATTCGAGAAACTAATAGGCCCATTTCAGCTTGGGGCTGATCCAATATACGAAGTCCAGAACACTGACCAAAAGCTTTGCCTTTTTTTTTTTCCTGAAAAACATCTTAATTTATAAATTTTATATAAATTATAAGAAGTATTCAAGTAAAATATATGAAATTTACATAAATAATCCCATTTAAGAGAAAAATGTGAAAATAAAAAATAGATGAAAAAAAAAGAAGTTGACACGAGACATGTTTTAAAAGATTACTTTTTTTTTTTTAAGTAGAGGGGCAGACTTAATGCGTGAAATTATTAGTGGGATCAAACTTATAACTCCTCACTTATAAAGTAGTTTTCACATCATTAAATTATAGAGTTATTGATTTTTAAGAATGATATTGATATAGCTAAATTGTTTCCCAAAAGAGAGCGGGAAGTCGCCGATTTTATATAAAAAGAAATTAAATCATTGTGCCAATCATTTGACTAGATTATCGCAGCCACAAATCGTTGTTAAGTTGGTTTCTAGACCACTGATCATCTTCCACCTTATTATCGCAGAGTAGTGGATGACAAGAGGCTTTTAATGAAATAAGAGGTTTAATTAGGTGTTTTTGCTCTGCGTTGACAGCTTTTCTTCTTGTATTGATATTTTGTGATTATAATATTCAGCTTTTATTCCAAACAAAGAAAGAGGAATCATTTTTTACCAAAAAAATCATTGGCAGCATACTCCAGCTGATAAACGGTGGGAGCATGTTTCGAATACAACACCTTTTTTTTTTCAAAAAAAAAAAAAAAAAAGGAGTGAATCTTGTGATGGGCAGAAAGGGGAAGGAGTCGTCGGGTCATGAAAATAAATGGAATGGCCCGAGCGTATCAGATTATTTGGCAGTATTATTATATGGGGCCCCCAGGGGCGCAGCATAGATGATTGTCCCCCGGGCCCCGACAAGCGAAATTCGCCGGCGACGGAACGCCGAAGAGAATGGGGGGGCGTGAGACGGCCACGTGGCGAGGCCTACCACCGCCGGGATGGGAATCGCGCACGCCGAGGCAGCATATGAATGGTTCGGAAGTCACAGTCTGGTACGGTGAGCTGTCAACATTGAATTGGAAGCCAGGTGTAGGGCCCACGTCATGATATAGGTTTTTGTGAGGGACAAGCGGGGCCCACAAGGGTCATTACTACTCTGCCCACTTTCCCGAGCCGTGTGGTGTCTGGTCCCACACTTTGTCGGCTTGTCGTTTGGAGCGTATGTTGGCGGGTAAAGTGGTCCCCACCTTGGCCCTGGCGCCACTAATAGTATTGGATTGGTCAACTAACCAAGCAACTTGAGTTCGAACAAACTAGAAGAAGCGTGCAAATGCTCCTCAAAGTTGAGAGGCATTGTGTTTATTTTTGACAAATCAGAAGTTAAAAAAAAGTAAAAGAAGAGGATTTTATGTTGGCAAAAAAGAGAAGAGAATTTTATAAGCATTGAAAAATGGGAATGAAACTCAACTTCAAGCCAACATCAAGAAACCTATTTTAAGGTTCCAGAAAAAAATTTTATTTTAACATGAGTTTTAAAATTAAAACATGGTCTTTGTATGTATTCTAACACAAAATAAGCATGAAAGAAGAAGGATGTGAAGCATAAAAGAAGAATGAAAATTTTGCCTGACATCATCTCTTCACTCTCCACTTCCCCAGCATCGATCCAAAGGGCACACAACCCTGAGAGGCGGGTCCCGCGGCAATGGTCGCCCTCTCTCAACGCACCTCCACACATAACCATTTATTTCATTTCCATCCTTTTCCTTGTGCCTTTTCTATAATCCGCCAAACACAGCCCCATGCCTCTCTGCTCTCCAATCCTTTTGTTATTTAATATTTCCTTTGATTTCTTTTTCTCACAAGTCTTGCCTTCAAATTCATCCACTCTTGATAATTTTCATTTTGTTCTGTAACTTTTTGCTGGTAAAGGTCGGTCTCTTCTTTGCCTTGTGTTGGCACTTGGGAACTATATTACGGGCGATGCAGAGTGGTTCAACCGTGTCAAAGGAAGATAATTTGGTCATGTCTTCGGAGGATTCTTCTTGCCCAGATGAGGCTGACCTTGAATTGGGTCTTGGCTTAAGCCTTTCTCGTCCTCCTGGGATGAAGTCCCAGCCACCTTCCACGAATCAATTTGCCAGAATATTAACGGCTAAAGATTTTCCTTCTATGGTTTCTTCTCGTTCTGCAACTTCATTAGCCTCATCAACCTCCTCCTCATCTTCTTCCTCTTCCTCTCCTTCCTCTGTGACCAGGCCTAACGCCACTGCTGGCACCAAGAGAACTGCCGATTCTGTTGTTGCTGCTAATGGCCCCAGGTGAATTATGTTAGCATGTTCTTCCTTACTCGCTTTAATTGGAATGTTAAAATCTTATAATGGCTTGCTTCATCTGTTCAGTTTTTGGCCACTTTCTAATTTATTTTTTCTCCCATCTTTATGTGATCTCATTAATTGATCAATGACTAGGATTAGTGCATGCATCTAATTGGGGTTTCTACTGATATTATCTGGAGTATTTCTATCTTCTTGTTTGTAACTCGTTCGTAAGGTTCTATAATCTCTTAAATTGATATTAACGCACCATTGTCAGACATGGTTTTATAGATATTGAATCATGTGCTTTTATAGAAAAGTGACCGCTGGACTAATTTTGAGCTTGTTTTGAGATTACCATTTCATCACGAAGGAACGGGATTTTAACAAGGTAATGGTATTAAGTATTAGTGCAACTTAAGATTGTTTTAGGACCAACGGTGGTAAGTATCTATAACGGTTCGTATCCTTTGGTTTCATGCAGATGAGAGAAATTTATATCATGCATTGTTAATGTAATCGCTTCTCTGACTCTCAGAGGAAATATTTGCTTATTTTTTCTTAGATTAAATTGAGGCCATTTTATGTGTGGATTGTGAGGTTTGGGATGCGCCTGATCTAGTGCTTTCATATTCTATAATAGTTAATGTGGGATCCAATGACGTTTTCTCCATCTAAAATTCTGATATAATGGGTGCTTCAGTTTCCTTAGGATTCAAGACAACTGATAATTATAGGAACGGTAGAAAGTCTGTGGCTACATCAAAACTTGGTGGGTCATGTGAAAAAATCATTGTAACGTAGGTTGGTTGACAAAAGCGAAACAGTATCATAACCTCTGGAGCAGAAATAACCCACAAAGTGTATAAATTTGGCATAGTAGTTTGTTTGCATCAGTAGACCAACTTAAATATTCATTTTCAGCCTTCTGGAGCTATCACTATTAACCCAAAACGTTGGTTTAGTGTTCCTCAACTACAACTCTGCTGTGTGCAGATCTCTGTTTCCTTGTTGGAGTTATCATTGTCTCTGGCCTTAAAAAGTCATGATGAGTATAATTTGTTTGCTTGCTCGTGTGTTCGTGTATAATTTGATTGTATAATTGATTCGATCTCTTCATTCTATTGCAAAACGGAATTCGTTAAACAGTCAGGTTGTTGGATGGCCTCCTGTGGGAGCATATCGAATGAATAGCTTTAACAATCATGCAAAGTCAACTGTCACTAACGTGTTCAACTCAGTGACAGAGAAAAGTAAGAGCAATAATACAGAGGCAAGGAGGAGTACTGATAATGGCATCGATAATAGCAATGCTAATGCCAAAGGTAATGGGCACCTGAAGAGTTCCTCGTTTGTGAAGGTAAATGTGGACGGGTTACCAATTGGAAGGAAGGTTGATTTGAGTGCTCATAATTCCTATGAAAGCTTAGCACTTGCTTTGGAGGAGATGTTCGATGAACATGCTGCAACTGTTTCTAGTAAAAGTGAGTTTTTTTTCCCCCTTTTTCTTGATTTTGGGTGATCTCAGAGATTTTGTAACTCTTGTAATGATGTCATCATTATGATTCTACTTGGATGATGAATATTATTGCAACTGTACCGTTCTATCTTGTGTATGCCTTGTATGTGACAAATAAATGGGATTATTGACCATAGTCTAACAATATTAATATATCTGGTTTATTTGATGCGTGCCTGTCGTATTTGACACGAGCTTGCTTTTCCCTCCTTCTATTAAGAATAGTTCTGTTCATATGTGGTTCTTCATTTCTAAGACTCTCTCAAAATTTTCTTATATTCACATATGAACTATCCAAACATGTTCGACCTACCAAATGATTTAATGTTACAAGTTTTCAATGACATCATCCTGTTATGTCTCAGTCCTTTCCTGTTCTCTTTACGTTATATGGTTTTGAGTAATAAGTTGTATGATGGGGTTCAATTTTGTGATTCCCAGCACTCTCTTCTGTTTATTAATGATATACACATCATTATCAGTAGGATCAAATGGAGAAGAACATGGCGTTATAGTCGGAGGAGCGGAAAGACGGTCAAAATGGCTGGATGGATCTTCCAAGTTTGTACTTACTTATGAAGACAAGGATGGAGACTGGATGCTTGTTGGGGATGTACCTTGGGGGTATGTGTTTGGCTCATAGTCATTATTGTAATGAAAGTATGAAGAAACCATTTTTGTTATTCTTGTTTTAGAGAGCTTTCTTTATATAATAAAGTGCTGCCAAAGAAGCTGGATATCATGTTTTGCGTGGTTTGATGATTGATATCCATTATTTTCCCTTTCTATTTGTATTCAGGATGTTTCTAAGCTCAGTGAGGAGGCTGAGGATCATGAGAACGTCTGAGGCTAATGGACTGGGTAAGCAGGGATATATATTTTCTTTTATTCCAATGTCCAAATGTTTCTTAGTTTCATCATTGTAATGATGTTATTCTGTGACGTGATTACTAATATGCAGCACCAAAGTCTGAAGAAAAGAACAGCAGGCAGAGAAGTTTGCGCGCATAGATCTTGCGGGTGGCTCCGATAGATAGAGAAGAAAAGGAATAATAAGAAAAGAAATACAGGATTTTGAGATTTAAAATGATCGCACCGCGTTTTGTTTTGTTTCGTTTCGTTTCTGGCTTAATTGTTGGTTGTTTGATTGTCTAGTCTATTTGTGACTTGACCCTCCATGAAATTCAGCTGGAGGACTTGGGCGCCATAGATGGTTATGTAAGTCCACGTGATTTCTTAACTGGAAAGAACGGATTGTTTGGCATTTGATTATAGTCATTGTCGTGCTTGAACAGTGATTTTTAATGTCTATTTGAATGTCATAGTTTTAAGTAAGACTAAAAGCAATTAAAATCAGGGATTTGATTTGATTAAATTTTGTAACTTTTTTCCAGTTTAATGCTATCTCCGGTCTTTAATATAAGATCTATTTTACTAATTTGAATAGACTAAGAAAAGTAGTTAAATTAGTTATTTATAAAAAATATGTGTTGGTTTTTGTAAAATATTTTTTTAGTTCATTTGGATTGAAATTACCATTTCTAGGAAACTTTCTTGCCATATGTAATCAATAGGTTTAGTTTAGATAAGTAAAAGGGGACAAAATGGATTAACATTTTATATTTAATAGCAAATCAAACTTTTTACTAGTAAGGATTAGGGTGGTAAATTTTGAAAGTGAGTAGATAAGTGAAAATTGATTTAATTTGAGTTTGGTTTTCAAATCCAACTAAATTGTAACCATTATCCTTGATGCTGATAGTATGTATTTGTGGACCTGAGGCCTAGGTCGCGTAATTTAATAGGTTGCAAGAAAATAGAATGTAAGTTTGGATTTTTTTTGGGTTTAAGTTCTATCATCCATGGGACAACCTGCCTCAAGTTCGAGAACTCATAAAATGTCGATGATCGATCGGCTTTCACTGAAAATAATGAATTTAGTGTTCAAATCAACGAGTATGTGTGATTCCCACACCCCCCCCCCCCACCACCAAAAAAAAAAGCCCTAAAAATCCTAAAAGATTAGAGTAAGTATTTGTGTGGCGAGCAGATTGTGATTGATTTTTGGATCGATTTACATGAGCCGAGAAAAGATGTCCTAACTTTATTGAAGGGATGAGATGGGATAACAGGATTTTTCAGATCAAGTCCCTCGTTAATGCATCTTAAACATTGATCTCTCCTTCATCATACGAAGTAATAGTAAATGAAATAAATTTTTACATTTAGCTAGTTGACTTCATTGAAACACCCCTCCTTATTTATATGAAATAATAATAAGTTGAGGAAGGATATAATTGAAAAAGAAATTATAAACACTACTGATTGCGCTACATTTCGGACTGGATAGGGCTTCTAGAAAATGTTCAAATTCAATATTGTGGATCAAAGAGAGTGTAAATCTTAGCTTCTTTTTTTCTCGCGAAAATTGATCCATATTGATGATAATCAAAAGCCTCTTAGGAAAAAAAAATATGAACCAGTGGTTATAAAATTACATGAGACTAAACAAAATACAGATCTAAATACAATGGAAGAATCAGATTGCTGGCCTGGACAACCTCCATTTTCGGTTCCTACACAAGGCCACTAACAGGTGATGATGTGCTAAAAACTGACATCATCTTATTAGGTTCATGTTTTTGATTGTTGCGATCGCTTTTACTCCGAGGCTTTGCCTCTTCAAGCATCATTATCACATCTGTCATGGGGGGTCTGTCTTTGGGTAGCTTGGCTGTGCAAAGAAGTGATACTCTAAGAACTAAAAGCATCTCCTCTACAACGTGCCTACAGTTTCCTACACTTGGGTCTAATGCTTCTTCTAGAGGCTTGTTATCTCTAATCTTCCTCCTAATCCACTCAACAATGTCCACAGATTCTCCAAACTCAGAATCCAGTGGCCTCTTCCCTGTGAGAAGCTCCAACAGAACTACTCCATAGCTGTAAGTGTCAATCTTTTCGTCCACCTTCAAGGTATATCCATATTCTGCCAAAGAAACAAGCATTAGAAATGTCGGATATATAAGATAGACAGTCTAATCTATGCTGTAATCTGCTGATTGAAATTTTCATCTTATGTTCTGAGTTCTCACCATCCTATGTGTATAGATATATTTATATATACAAATATATTTTTTCTCAGATAACGTTAAAAGTAAAGTTGCCATTAATCTGATAAAATAAGAACTAACTCCTCACCCGGGGCAATGTAGCCATAGGACCCGGCAATCATGGAGACTGTTTCATTCTTTCTGATCATCATTTTGGCCAATCCAAAATCTGCTATCCTTGCCTCAAGATTTGCATCAAGCAGTATGTTGTTAGACTTGATGTCTCGGTGGATGATCTGTGGATGACAGTCATGATGAAGATAAGCAAGCCCTTGTGCAACTCCTAGAGCTATCTTATAACGAGAAGCCCAGTCTACAAGCAACCTTCCAGCGTGTTTGCCATGCAAGGCATCTCCAAGGTTGCCATTAGACATAAATTCATAAACTATCATAACATCAACGTCATTATAAAGATATCCTAGTAATCTAACGATATTTCTATGTCTTAGCCTACCCAACAGATTTACCTCTCCAACAAGGTCATCACTACTTCCTACCTCAGTATCAGATCCAGATTTCCACAATTTTTTCACTGCCACAACTGTATTTGAGTGCGATATTTCAGCCTTATAAACAACACCAGTTGCTCCCATTCCAATCACATTTGTTTCCTTGATGCATGCTAGAATTTCAGTACTTGTAAAATTAAGCCTCTGAAATGCCATCAATCTCCACGGCCACCTTTTGTCACCCTTATAAATCTTTTCTCCAACGCAGAAGCCATTGGAGTACCATTTCACGCATATAGATCTAGCAACGAAAATGGCAATCCCAATGGCCAACACTGATGATATTCCAACGACCCATCCTGTGATTATGTGTTTTGCTCGTGAGCTTCCATGCTTCAATGCATATGCAGAGTTTTGGCCACATGGAGGAAGGACGCCACCACATAGGCCTGCATTACCCACAAGATCACTTGGGTTAATAGTTCTAAGCATGCCATTTGTGGGGACAGGACCCTCAAGCTTGTTATACGAGAAATTGAGAGCCTCCAGAGCAGGAGAAATACCAAAGCTACCAGGTATTTCACCGGTCAGAGAGTTGTTGGAAAAATCAAGAATGGCCAATGAAGGCATGTTGGCAAGTGCCTTCGGGATTTTACCAGACAACTGGTTGTTTTTTAGGTTCAAGTTAACCAATTTCTGACAAGAAGCAATGCTGGCAGGAATGCTTCCAGAGAGACGATTTGATGACAGATCAAGAACACCGAGTGAAGGACAGTCCTGAAATTGGTCTGGGATTTCACCTTCCAAATTGTTGTGGGAGACCATGAATGATTGGAGATTCGGAGTGGAAAGAATAGCAGAAGGGAGAGAAGAATGGAGGTTGTTTCTGGAGAAATCAATGAAAGAAAGAGATGTGGAAGAAGCAATGTCATTCGGAATTTCACCAGTGAGACTGTTGTTAGCCAATTCTAACCTTTCAAGATTCCCAAGCTTCCCAAAACCAACTGGAATCGTCCCATTAAGTAAATTGTTATGAATTCGGACACGAACCAGTGAAGGGCACAATGATAAGTTGACTGGGATTGGACCTGTGAAGGCATTATTGAAAAGAATAAGCTTGGTGAGATTGCCCTGGCCGCAAATTGTTTCTGGAATCCCACCAGCTATAGAGTTGGATGATACATCAAGCCATTGCAATGGCGAACTATTGCCCAGGCGATTTGGCAATGTTCCTGACAAAGAATTGTTCCATAGCTCAAGAACCTTCAATTGAGGCAAATCCCCAAGTTCAGAAGGCACAGGACCAGATAGAAGATTGCTCATGAAATTGAGGAGCTCTAAATTCTTCAGTTGACCAATTTCAGGTGGAATTTTTCCTGATAGCATGTTATCAGAGAAATCCAGCAACACCAACGAAGTCTGATTGCCCAAAGAAGGAGGGATTCCGCCTTTAAAATTGTTTCTGTATAAGAAAACCGTGCGAAGTAATTTCAGGTTTCCCAATTCAGCTGGAATTTCACCTCCAAGATTGCCTTCTGCCATATCAAGATATTTGAGATTGGTGAGATTTCCAAACTCTCTAGGAATCCCACCCTCAAATGCATTGTACCCGAGAATCATATACTCCAGTGAGGAAAGCTGTCCCAGATCTCCTGGAATTTCTCCAGTGAGATTGTTTCCAGAAAGACCAAGGAACCTCAACTTCTGCAATCTGCTGAACGATCTTGGAATAGACCCTTGGAAGAAGCTGCCTCTGAGATCCAGCGTCTCTAAGAAAGAAGCATTTCCAAGGTCCTCAGGAACAAAACCTGAGAAATCATTGCTGGATGCATTTAAAATCACTAGTCGTGGTGCCTTTCCAAGACCTAATGGAAAATCACCAACGAAGAAATTCTGGCTGACATCAAGACTTCTCAATGTGGTGAGGTTGGCAACAGATTTTGGCAATGTTGTGGAGAATACATTGCAACATAAGTTTAGAGTAGTGAGACTTTGTAGCTTTTGTATCTCATCGGATACTTTGCCACTGAGATTCATGTGGGATAGATCAAGCTTCTCAACAGCTCCAGCAGCATTACATGAGATGCCAACCCAGTTACAGTGCGCTGCATTTTTTCTTGGTGCCTCGTCCCGCAATTTCCAATCTTGCAGCTTATTCAACGGATCAGTAAGACCTGCTTTTATAGAAAGTAGAGCAGAAACTTCATCATTCAAAACAGCAGCAAGACCATAAGAGAAACAGAAAATGCAACAGAAGAAGAGCAGAATTTTCAGTTGCATCTTATTCTTCTTCACTCTGCTTAACCTCTCAGTTGTCCATCATTTGCACTCTCCTCTGAAACTGAAGTAGTTTGGATGGACAGAACACGGAGAAAGTAATAGTTATGAGGACGTGGTTGAAAGAAGAACAACTAGTGCATTGATCCAGTATAATATATGACCAATAAATACATCATCAACGAGAGGTGGTCATTGTTAAGGGTTGGTCAGGTATTTAACAGCTGGTAATGTGCAAGTAATGACGAGTGAAGCTTTGGTCTTATTCGAAGTTTCTCCGACATAAAACATGGGAGAGAATGTGCCGCTTAATGCTGGTTTAGTTTTAGCTTTGCCAACTCGAGAGATGAATAATTTGGCAACTGCGTTGGCTTTGTTAGAGAAAGCTTCTTCCCTGATTGTTTGTTTTGTTACTTTTTTTTTTTTTCTTGCAGTAATTACGTATTTTTTTTAAAGAAGATTGAGAATGAAGGCATCGGAAAACTGTACCTTCTGGTGTCAAGAGTAAATCTGCTGAATAATTCGTGAGGGTGTGTTCTATCCTAAAACTAATATTTAACCTGCTCACAAGGCAATCCATGATTGAGATTCGACCAGATGTAGAAAAAGTAACAAAGATAAAAACTATGAAATCAGAAAAGAAAAAGTTCAGTTAGTTAAATCAAATTCATGTATAAAGCTACTTTTAAGTTTTAACCGCGCTCTGAGGGTAGAAGAGAATTTACGAGTTTCAGAAGATGGAAGGGTAGCTTCTAAGTATGACAAAGATTCAGAAATGATGCCTTAGTAGACCATTTAAAATATAGTTAAGGTTGGGATCCACCCAAGAACATTGATGTACTTGTGATTATCTTAACATCAAAATCCAAACCAGAGCCATGTGATAGCGGGAATAACTTTTAACAAATTGTAAACGAAGAAATTTGTACCTTCAATTATTGTATTCTACTACAAAATGGCAGAGGGAGACGGGCGGAACCATCATCCATTTGATGGTTCTACCTCCAAAATATTAACTATTCATTATGATTAGAAGCAGGAATCTTTCCATGTTATAGGGCATAAGAAACATGAAAATGAGACAAACTCTACCCTCCATTAAAATTAAAATTTAAAATAATAATGCATAAGGCATTGTAATACCTAGAGCTTCATCTAAAACATGACGCATAAACTTATTGGACTAGAAATATGCCCACTAAGAAAACCCAAGCAATACTGCAAACAGTTTGCCTGCAAGTTGTTGATGAACCATGTTTCTCAAAGAGACCCTTTGAGTTTTCAAAAACAAACACGCCCTTCAAGATGAAGAAGAAAGCAATAGATGGAAGCGGAGGCATGCCCAGAAGAATAACAATAAAATATGACAAAAAAGAAGGTAATGGGAGAAAAGTGCTGCACCTGCGCATTATCAATCATGGTCTGAGACTCTGAAGTCTGAACCCACTAATTGCCACATCTGAGATAAAAATTCTTTCTTTTATCTTTTTGCTCTTTCTGCCTTTCAATATTCACATGCACACACGTGGTCTGTTTGAATAAATAAAGTGAATAAAGAGAAATTCCCCGTCCAATGCTTAGAGTTAGAATAAATTCGATGCCTAACCACGTAATAAAACAGATGGAAGTCATACAGAGTAGTACCTTCTTTCAAATATTGAATTATTTGATGATTGCTTTTGATAATTGATGCCCATATGGATCCAATCTTAAGGGCGCGAAGTGAAGCGAAGTTCTCTGAGAAGCTTGCTTACGTGCGTCCACATGCTTTTATGCCAACGGAAACCAGAACCAGCCTTTCATGATTTTAAAATCGAAAAAGAAATCGAAAACCTAATGTTACACGCAGCGATTAGATGCTAAATGAGACCAAATCGCCCTCTCCTGCACATGCGCCACATGCACATCGCTAAGGCTCACAAAAACGTTTACCTTCGTTCCCCCCTAATAGATGAAATAAATCCAAAAATGGATTTTGTTCAAGAATGAAATGTTACTGAGACTGTCCAGGTCTCTTCCTGATCCGATGTACAAATTTTTGCTTTTACTCGCGCTGACTTTTGACCTTTTGACTATTGTGGCTGAAAGGGGGAAGAAAATGAAGCTCTTATTTTTCAGCGTTTCACTTATAAGTTTATCCTTGTGTTTAATTAGCATTAACCTCTTGTTCTCATGGTTTCAAATTGTAAAAGAAATTATTCTCATAAAATATTTTTCTATTTTCTTCAGAGGACCCTAAATTTGTTTCTTGCGAAGGCAACCTTTTAACTGCTATTTTTTTATTTTATTTTATTTTCCAAACTGCTAGTTTTTCTTTTGGTGACAATTCCAAACTGCTAGTTTACAGCCCACGTACAGACTCAGAGCTTGTTATTCTCGTTATGTTACTTTCTTCAATTTTTGTTACAAAAAGTCAAATGTTATAAACAATTTCAATCAATTAGAATATTACATAATATGTTAAACCGGCTCAAAACTTTATAAGACTGGCTTGGTTATAGCACCAATGCAGATCAACCTTGTGGGCTTGGTACATCATGAGGAATTGGATCCAGAGGCTTTAGTGCTTTCGGCCTTTTTCTCATACATGATATATCGGCTAATTTTGGTAGTTAGATAGCGTTTTTGTGAACCCTGGATAACATTTTTTGGGTACAACAATGGGTCTAGCCCAAAATCTTTGAATTTTTCTCATTTTGTTAGACAGACAAATTTATGATAGATTTCTTGGAATAAATTATTGGGAAAATTCTAATTAAATCCATTTGGAATAGCAAAATTCTAATTTAAACCTACACTTTTAACAAATTCTTAATTAGGCTAAGAGACCTAATTTGAGATTTCTAAATGTTGCTAAAAGATCAAAAGACCCTTCGTAATTAAAAAGCGTAATTTATTTTTAATTCTTTTAATTGAATTTAACTAACATGTTTTTTATTTAAACATTATCATATGAAAATTTGGCCAAAAACATTATCATATAAAAAACAAAAAAATACGATTATGGCCAATAAAAAATAATTGAAAAGTCAAGATAAAAAAATCCATAGAATTACAAAAATACGGGAACTAATAAAAATTTCACGACTTCAAATGTTAAAGATTAATACGATCAAAGTTTTTTTTTTTTGTGAGAACAAATCAAATCAAAGATTTATGGAATTCTTGAATATCTATCAAAATTAATTTTACTATTATCAAATTCATCATCAATTTTTCGGTCTCCAAGATTTATTCATTATCAAATTTTTATTATATAAAAAATAACTAAAAGGTCATAAATTCTAGAGTTGACAATACATTTACAATTATGAAACAACTTTGATATAAAATCTAAGAAAGATTATGTTCTCATTAGTCTTCACTTGCACCAATGATCACATTACATATGCCCCAAAAAAAAAATCAGCTATTTGCTAGACCAATTTCAACTAGGATTTGGATTTTTGCAAGTCTTTTTTGTGTGACCATGTTGATGGCATCTTGAATAGTAGTATGTTTTTGTGTTTTAGAATTGTGATTCACATCTCGTAGTTCTTGGTGTTCCAAGAGATTTACTGGTCTAAGGTGGTTGGAGAAAATTTGTTCCATTATATTTTTCATTCTTAAGTTATTTGGGTTTATCATGTCAATAGTTATAACAAGTATTATACTCCTTCTATAAATCTTCTCGTGTTATAATCTTGTGACAGTCTTCTTCATAAATTTAATATTGATAGATATGAAAGAATTCTATGAATCTTTAATTCATTATCATATATTTTTTATCTTGATTTTTAATTTTTTTAATTAAAAAATTTTAAGTAACTCTACTAGAATAATTAAAACTAAAATCAGGCTTACACCTACATTCAATTTTCCTTTTTGATTACAAAGAGGCATTCTGGTCTTTTAGCAACATTTGAAAATCCCTAATCAGGCCTCTTGGCCTAATTAAGAATTTGTTAAAAGTATAAGTCTTAATTAAAATTTCATTATTTCAGATGGATTTAATTGGGATTTTTCCTAAATTATTTTTATCATCGGGTCAAACCGATCCAATTGCTGGCCCAAAAAAGGGATCCAATTGTAGCGCGTCATCACTGTCCTCTTTGATTCTCTGATCTATATGATGAGCGTGGCTCAATTTCTGCGAAGGGCAGACGAATCAAAAGCAGACGTTGTATAATACTCCAATCTCATCACCGCCAATTTGCTACCATCTGGTCTCTGGAAGAGCATTCTAGCCAGTTCAAGTTGCATAGCAAGTTGCAGTGGCAAGGAGGGCATAGAAAACAAAAACGTCATTGATTTTCCTGGCTCCAACACTTTGTTAAACGAGGATCATCTTATTTGGACGGTACTTGGAAGATAACGATGAACAGCCATTACATTTTTCAATGGCACCGACGTCATAATCCTGCTGGACAGATCGTAGAAGACAAATCAGGGAAGGGAAAAAAAATTACGCAGGCCCGCAGGTATTGCCCCTCTCATGATATTTAAAGGGCAAGCATCATCAAATGCTGCCAATCAGCCAAGAACGCCCTCTAAGCAATTGCCATAAAGGACAAAAGTATAATTTCCCAGACTGTCACACAGTTATCTGCATAAAAAGTTTTCAAATTTCATCTCAAGATCATTAATCATTTCATCAATCATCAATGCAAATATCAATCATCAGAGTGAAGCTCGTCTATATCTACTAAATGAAAATGGAAACTTAACTCTGGTACAATTTGCTGAGCCCCATCCTGTCCCACTGGTCCCCTCTTTTTATCAAAAGCCAGAAACAAGACTTTTACTGACAAGCAACAACGATGGTAAGAAACAGCTTATGGTTTCCACCAGTTCCATCCATTAACTAGCCACAAGCTGATCAATTCACTGATTTCATATAAGGTAAAAAGGGATCTCCCAAGAAGTTGGACTAGAAAATTGTTAGATAAATGCAAATTAGCAATTGCTTTCAGACACGGTGAAGCAAATTTACTATTTGAACGTTCGCAAAAACAAGCCTCAATCTAAAGTCCAGTGCAGCACTGATGCGTCTGCAGAACAATATATTGTTCAGATAATCACTTCTACTGATTTTTTCCTAGGCTTTATGGCTGTTAAACTTGTTCAGATATACAATCAACCACTAATCCAATCATTATTATATTTCCTATGAAATCAAATGGACAAGAATTCTATATTAGAATATTATTAAACCTTGCAAAATACATTTCAAGTGAGCACTAAGGAGAATACATGAGGTAGAAAGCAGAAAAACCTACATAACAAAAATGTGGAAAGCAGATAACATCTCCGCACTGGGGCTATCTGTGACGAAGCCCGCCAACTAATCTTGCATACGAGTTCTGCAATAAAGTCATAACATGGAAAGAATTTGTCCCTTCAATTCTTTCCTAATCAGAGGAAGGCACTTACCTGAGCCTACATTAAAGTTCACTTTAGAATTTTGGGGATGCATTACCTTCCATTTTCATGAATGACCTCTCTGCTCATTCTTCCAAGAATTTTTAGCAGCTTCAATAGAGGATTCACTGGAATCTCCATTTCCGTCCTTCGGTTTTGAGAAGAAAGGATCCCATTCATGAGGTCCTACCTCATGCTGCCCCTCGTCCAACAATGCATATTTCCAGCTGTTCTCCTCAATGAAGTTGTCGTTTGTATGCCCTGCAACGATATCCTTCCTTAAATTTGAAACCTTGTCAATAATTGCCTGTACAGCAACATCAAAGGCATCTTTAAGAGTTTCCAATTTAGAGCGAGGATCGGCATATACAAGTCTTGGAATGAGACCAATGACCTCCTCTCTCATGATTTTCACCTGCTCAGGAGGTATCTGCATTAGCCTTTCCTCTATACTCACATTCCTCTTTCGAATATCATCCTCCGGAATAAAGACAGAATATTTGGTATAGTCCTTAGGAAGATGCCATGTATATTGTGTGTATGCTGAACCTGGATGGAAGAAGACAGGTATACAACCAGCCAGCATTGAATCAAACGCAGATCTTCGGGTGTACGAGTCACCCTGGGGTTGCAGGCAGAAAAGCGAGCTCTGAAACATTTGCATTATGCTGCTTGGAGAATGGCATTTGCTTTCACCAAAGTCACATTCCAACAGCTTACCAACCTTTGACTTCTTGCATTGGTCAATTATCTGCCCCTAATCGATTTGGAGTTGTCAGGACGTGGAGCTCCAGCAAACGAGAATAGCCACTTCCTCTCTAATCGTCTCATTCTGTCCTGCCAGATGAACACATCAGCATCTTTTGCAGGGTGGAAGTATGTGGGATATGGAATAGCAAAATCATTGGCATTCCAGGGACTGGATTCGACCACGAGCATGGACATATTCTTCGCTGCTGGTAAAAACAGAAGTTTACTACCCCAATCTGATTCTTCATCACTTAGTCTCCGGAAATCCCATGTTATCCTTCCCGCAACAAGAAAATGGTCTCTACCATTCATTATACCCCACTCTGGCCTCTTCATAAGCCATTCAACGAGCTCAAGTGATGCAGCATCTCTCCTTGAAATATTATAACCCCAAAGATAACGTGCAATATCAAACCCAGCATAGAAGGGTACAAAAATCGCGGCAGCAATAGACGAATCCTTTGTCAAGCAGTCGTACTGTTTCATCCTATTGTTGAATATCACGTCAACAGCAAACTGATTTGTAGCGTACCATCCCGTATCTGAGAACACCCCTTCAAAATTCTCCAGTGGCGGACCAAGCCCAGCATTAGTGGTAAACTTGCACATATTAGTCCACAAGCTTAAAGTCCTGCAATCCTTCAACATATCCTCGTTAAACTTTGAGGGAAGATCGTGCACATAAATATACCTCCCTCCACAAGGGTCACTCTTGTTTTCGGCAGTTCGCATTGCTTTCATGAATGGATGATTCTTCTGTGGGCTTTGTACCTG